TTTGTAGTATGTAGAGCATACTATTCAATGAAAATTAAAAGAAAAAAAACAAATTAAGCCAATATACATTATGGGTAGCCACTAATACTAAAAGCATATTTGAATTTATTAATGAATCATGGATACCTAATGAACAAGAAGATATTTTGTGTTTTGAAGAAAATATGAATAAAGTTTTAGGACTAATTAAAAGACATATTTTATTATATTCTCTTGTTCCAATTAATAATGGAGTACAGTATTTCTTACCTCAACTCAAATTTATCAATTGTGTTCAGGAAATATATAACTATTGTAAAAACAGAAATCTTGTTCGTTTGTGGAGATATTTATAGTATAATTGGTATAAAAAAAATCATTGAGATCTTTTTGCTCGGGCCTCTTTTTCAAAAGTATTGCTATTAGCAAAAACTACAATATTAGTAGAATTGCATTGGTGTGTTCTCAAGTACTATTACAAATATAATTATAACTGACCTCGTCTAGATCACTTAACACAAATAATAACTAAGGAATTAATTCTGGATCAAATAAATAACTAGTACAAGTTTGATAATAGTCGCACCTTTTCATCATGGTGGAGAATATTTAGAAGTGATTGGAAAACTATATTAGAAAAAGAAATTAGTTTGGTAAATAATTATTATACAAATATTAATCAATAGATTTGCTTATGTCCTGTATTTATTGAAAGTACTTACATGCTATGTAAACATCTTATAAAAAATTATACAAATGAGTATTCAGATTTTTTTTTCCAATTTGCAAATATAAAACGAAGACATGATTATCCATTTATCTATTTTGGTAAAGAAAAACTTTTATGTATTAACTTAGAAAATAATTACTGGAATGAACCCATTGAAGAATTTTTTGATGAACCTGAAAATTTAATAGAAACTATTAATGAAGAATTATATACCAATAACCAAAATGAATTAATTGAATCCAGAAAAGCAGAACTTAATGGGAATAAAAAGATGTTTGAATCTTTATTAACAATTGTTTCAGATAATATTCAAAATGACTCTTTTTATAGTATTTACCAAAAACTAAAACAATCTTTAATAGCCAAAACAATTGCTTGTCAGGAAGCTTTATGGGCTAAACATTAACAAAAAACTTGGCATCCTCCTTGTAGATTTAAGCTTGCTTTTTGGCTATAGTAGATAGTTTTTATTCTAATTAAAAAAACTTCAGCTAGATTTTAATCATTTAAGGTTTTGTTAGTATATCGATAATATAAGTGTATAACAATAATATAAGTATTTTGATAATTTTTAATAAATATTTAAAACCATCCCTGTCTTATATGTTAACTATTTTATCATCTATAATTAGATTCAAAATATAAATCAATACATCGCGAATTCAAAGGTTCTCATTATTGTTATAAAAATAATACCAATACATTTTTTTTGTGATTAGATTATCATCTGCACTATTCCTGTATTATGTATGTGCTCATCGATCCCTCTGAAATTATGAGACTGACACTTTTTTTTGGCCCGACTAAGTCCCTCCAATGTGACGCTTAATTATTACAATTGATCATAATAATTATTTCAATCATTTGAGCAGACATCCTTGTTTTACTCTATTATCACTATGTCTTTAGCAAATCAGAATAATAATAATAAAAAAGATAACTATCCAACAAGCAAATATAACTTCTTCTTTGGCAACACCTCAACAAACAAATATAACTTCAGCAATTCAAAGAGTGTTCTCAAGCATCAATAGAATGCAATTTCATAGTAATCTAAATAGTGCACAAGTATTATGACATAATTTTAGCTATTGCTATAAAATTTTGAATAATAGTCAATAATACGAATAATGATATTATTGAATATTATGTATAAGATATTGATATTATTGTTCATATTATATTAGCATGTTAAGTAACATTTTGCATAAATGATGATATCATTTTATAACAAAAAAAATTTTTACATGATCATATCACATGAACAATAATGAATATTATTGAGACATACTCAAACATTGCTATTACTATGATTTTTTAATAATTGTAGTGATGCTCAATTGCAACCTCAATCACAAGTTGAGAGGATTCTAAAATAGTTTACCGAAAATTTTATAAAAAAATATGAAATTCATAATAAAAGTATGAAAATACTTGAACAATACTTTTCTGGTCCTAAAAATTTAGGTCTTAATCCAAGATCATCATTAATTTATTCATTACTATTTAAAATTTTTTTTTTTCACGTAATAAACTACCTTACTCATCTTAATGACAAGCTCGATTGATCAAAACCAAAAATAATGAGGCATTTGAATATTAAAAATTTTTAAAATAAATAAATAAGTATAATTATTTTTTGACGTAAAAGTTAGGAAATAACAATCGTTAGAAAGTTTGCTCTTTGAATTTTCTGGAATTTTTATTAGCGATAAGTGTTTCGAATAAAAAGCAAAGCAATAATTTTTGACGACTATAATTTCGCTAAAAATCTATAACGTAAAGCAAAGTGCTTGAACAACCTCTTTTCTACACTATTAATTAACAATTTTGGCTGATCATTTGATTTAGGCGCTTGAGAACACCCTTAATTCGTATTCGTATAGTGCAATATACAGTAATATAAGTATGGATGACGTATACATCGTGCAAAATAACAAGCATGAATGACGAAATAAAAAGAAAGTGATTTATAACTGTATAACATAAATAGTGTAATACTCATGATCAATAGTGTGCTATAATACTATAATTTCTGATTTTAAAGCTAGACTATGATTAGAATAGAAATAAAGTTTCAAATCAAAAGCTTATACCAAAATTTGAGTGGAATTTTTATTAGAGCAAGAAAGTAGATTTTGATAATACGTGGCATAGATTCTTATAAATTTCGACCTATTAACAATAATAAACCGACTCGCTCTTCAAGCAACCATATCTGTAGGGGCATTTGTATTTCCACTTGGAATATATGAAAAATATTGAAGCATCAACAACTCGGAGAAGTCGATGGTTTACAACTCCGCCTTTAATTCGACTTTTTTTAATGCATCTTTTAGATAGCTATCAGCCCTTTCATTGTAAACTTTAATTTAATAAACATGTTAAAAATATTGGTATAAAATAAGAAAATTTTATATTAAGGTACCTGATATAATCCAGCACTGTTCTGTCTTTCACCATTATAGCAGCATCAACCACACCTGACATAACATTATAAGTTCCATTTTGGCTATCTTGCACATGAAATAAACCATTGAATCCATGAAATCATTTAAAATTTTCATCTGGTTTCTTTCGCAAATTATTTTAAACACTTTTTAAGAAAATATATATTTTGAGCTAAATAATTGATGCTGAAATAACAAACCCATACCTTCTAAGCAATTTTTAATTTATATATATAATTCGGAACTTGCTTATAAATCATTGCGTTCAAAGAGCTAGATCCATCCCAAACTTTTGCCCGTATAAAAGGGAATCTATTTTTTAGAAGGGTTTATAGAACTTGTTGTGCTCGGTTTGTTGGAGTGCTTGTATTGAGGTAACAACATGAGTAAACTACTTAATGCTACTGTGTGCAAAAGGTTTATCACCTTATATGCTCATGGCAAACTAATTAGATCGTTAGAATGGGCACCGGACCTCCGGCTTCCAATACTAGGATGTTAATATTCGGAATATTATGAATCAATTCTCTAGCAAGCACCCATCCTGCAGTACCAGCTCCCACGATAATAAAATCATAAATTTCTTTAATTTTAAGTTTTGCGTGTTTATTGTAATCAAAAATATTCTTAATCCAAAATTCACGAACTTTGGTTTCTGACTCATACTTTTAAAGTGCAACCTAACTATATGGTATGTCACAAAAAATATCCAATAAATTTATGTGACTTATAAAGTGATATAATTTTGCAACAAATAATTCTATCAAGAATATTTTTTTGACAGGCTTTGTTGCTTTTTGTCAAAGCTACAGTTCCATTAAAATAATCTTAAGAAGTTATTTCAACTTAAAGTTTATACCTGATACGTATATGTTTAGAAATTTGGCGTTTAATATACAAATATATATGTGTGTTACGAATATATTGTTTAGCATAGCTGATAGGAATAAATTTAAAGATTTTTGCATGTAAGCCGATTTCTTGATTAGATGCTTAGTGATATTTCAAAGAGATCTTATTAGACGGATTAAATTTTTGTTGGGTAACGCGTTTCGTAAAAATCTTCAATAGGATAACTTGTGTACCACGGTATGTTTATCTGATTGACATTTAATCCTTCAATAACTTCAATTATTTTGAAGATATTAAAAACCCAATTTTTAAAGCTTGGGTTTTCATGTTAACTTGATGTCGTTCATTTTCTCAGAGTTTTAGTCGTAAAGAAAAATTTTTTTACGTTAAAAATGCTTCATTAAATTTGCTTTAGATTTGACGTATGTTACGATATAAATTTTAAAACTGTCGATTTTTAATCGACCCTCATTTAAAAGTGACATCTAGCATATGCACATGAGAATTCACGATATTTCCCAGATTTCCAGAATTTTTAAGACTCGCTCTAATCGAATTTTTAATTTTTACTAAGCAGAATTTTCATATTCTCGATTCCCAACATGGGTATATTTTCCACATCTTTTTGAAAACAGCTGTAATTGTAATTTTTTTTACTCTACTACTTTCGCACATCATCCTCAGTGTTAATTTCTGAACCAGGTTACACGACATATTTCCGCATCTTTCACAAAAAAAAAACAAACGCTTCGGGACATTATCTACTTTAGGTAGAGGTCCCTGTAACGATATACTGTATATATATATATATATATATAGTTAAATTTTTGGATCTATCGGAGTATTGCCGATTAATTTGGCAAATTTGGATGCGTTTGATCTATCCATCTTCGCACTTTTATAAATTCATTCGAGGTCTCTCCTGTCGTGACTTGAGAACTTTTTGTATTTTTAAAAAAGCAAGATCTTGTTCAAGTGTGTTATCTGACATGTCTTTAACTTGGAATTACCCTGTGACTAGACGTGACGAGTCTATCGTCGAGGAATTACATGGTATCAAGGTTGCCGATCCTTACAGGTGGTTGGAAAACCCTGACTCCGAAGAAACAAAGGTAAGAAATTACTGAAGAATATAAACTATTATAAGTGTTGCTAACTTGTTTAAAATGCAAGGCGTTCGTTGATACTCAAAATGCTCTTACGAATAAACATTTGGAGTCTTATCCTTATCGCGAAAAGTTTCGTGAAACGTATGCTTATTTCTTTAAATTTATAATTTAAATGTCTTTTTCTTTTCTATTAATTACTATTTACTTTAAACATCTTAGCCTAACTAAAATTTATGACTATGAGAAATATGGTTGTCCTTTTAAACATGGCAATCATTATTATTATTTTTATAATACTGGCTTGCAACCTCAAAAGTATTAACTAATTTGCTTTTTTATGTTTTATCTGATGTGAATTATTAATATTATACCATGATTTATAGTGTCTTATATCAATTGAAAAATTCTCTTGATTCCCCACCTGAAGAATTTTTCAATGCAAGTAGTATTCTTTATTCTATTTATCTTTATTTTTTGTTCACTTTTTAACAGTTATTTTATAATAATTTATAGCCAAATACTCTTGAGGCAGATGGTACTGCTTCCCTTAATACGTATTCCTTTTCAAAATACGGCAAATACTTTGCTTATGGCATCTCTAAATCAGGTTCGTATTACCTTATCGATTACTGATTTTTCAGTATTATTTATATGATTTTAAATGATTACTCGTTATTCTAATATTTTCTCGTTACTTCTAGGAAGTGATTGGGTTACAATATACGTGAGAACAACTGAAAATGATGAACAAAACAAATTACCGTTGGGTGATGTGGTTGAATGGGTTAAATTCTCATCCATTGAATGGACGCATGATGAAGCTGGTTTTTTCTATAATGTACTTTTAATGTGTTATTTTTAGCTGTTTTATAATCACATCATATCTGTGCGTTATTAATATAGTTTTATCTTTTTACAGAGATATCCTGAACCTGAAAAAAGTGATGATAAAGGCACTGAAACCGATACGAATCTCAATGCCATGGTAATATAAAAATTCAAATGTATTTTTGATAAATTCAAACTTAGTTGTCTAATTTCCTGTAATTATTTATTTATTATTATTTTTTTTATGATAAAAGCTCTATTATCACAAATTAGGCACTTCTCAATCTGATGACATTTTAATTTATAAAGACCCGAGCAACCCCGAGTACATGTTCGAATCTTCCATTTCTACAGATGGTCGCTATGTAATTCTCAAAATTGCAAAGGATTGTGCTCCTGTAAATAAATTATGGATCTTTGACTTAAAAAAAACAAATCATCAAATTATTGGTATGTATCATATATTACTCTTTTATATAATTTAATAAAAATTAGTTATTAATCTATTGCCATTTTGCAAACTAGAAAATTGTGATTTTCTCAAAATTGTTGATAATTTTGATGCTGAATTTGATTAGTATGTTAGATGTTAATTACAAATTGCATCATTTATAATATATTCCAATTTAACGTTTA